TCAAATAGGTTATCTTCCTTCTAGTGAATATGTTTGGCACCTATGTCAAAGATAAGATGATTGAGTATGTTGGAGTTGTTGCTCTGTCTTCTAGCCTGTTCCACTGACCTTTAAGTTATCACTTGTCACCAGGAGCTATTGATGGAAAGTGTACAGACTGGAGAACAACTTGCATTCTGTTATCCAAATAGCCAAGTGTATACATCTCTATTCACTTGACTTTTTTGTGATGCATACACTTCATATTTTTACCAGTACCATGCTGTTTTTATGATAGTACTTCTGTAGTATAGTTTCAAGTCAGAGATTGTGATGATCCTTGCTTTGCTTTTGCTGCCCAGAATTGCTTATGCTATTCTAGGTTTCTTCTCATTCCAAACAAATTTTAAGAATATTTTCTCTAATTCTATAAGATATGATATTGATATTTCTATTGAGATTGATTTAAATCTGTACAACAACTTTGGAAGTATGGTCATTTTCACTCTCTTGTTTTTTCTTACCAAAGAACAAGGGATATATTTCCATTTTCTGCTATCCTATTTGGTCTCCTTTTCCAGAGTACTATAGTTTTCAATGTGAAAACTTTTTGCTTCTTTTTTAAAATTGCTTCCTAGGTATTTTTGGATGCTATTGTAAAAGTTATCATTTCCCCAATTTCTCTCTCAGTGAGTTTGTTATCTGCACAGGAATGCTATTGAGTTTTGAGTGCTGACTTCATACCCAGCTATGAGATTGAATTTGGTTATTCAATCTAAAAGGTTTTGGTAATTTTGGGATGTCTTCTATGTAGTTTATCATGTCTTATAGATATAATTATAATTTAACTTCTTCCCTTTTTTTGTGGTACTGGGGATTGCACTCAGGACCCTGCACTTGCCAGGCAAGTGCTTATTCTACTGAGCTATTTCCCCGGGCCCTTCTTCCTTTCCTTATCCTTTTATTTCTTTTTCTTGTCTAACTTTTGTAGCTAATGCTTCTAGAACTAGATTGAATAGGAGTGGTGACAGTGGACATCCTTTTCTTGTTCTTGGTTGTAGAGTGAAAGCTTTCAGTGTTACATATTTAGCATGATGTTTGCGGTTTGTTTGTCCTAAATGGCTTTTATCAGATTGAGATAGCATATGTCATTTTTAAAGGCAAGAACTGAAAGAATTACACATCACTTCTATTCATATTTTATTGTCAAGAATTAGAAACTTGTACCCATCTGATTACAAAGACAACAGAAGTTATGACTGGTTCCCAAGAGCTATTGATGGAAAGTGTACAGACTGGAGTACAACTTGCAGTCTGTTATCTAAATAGACAAGTGTAAAGATCTCCACTCATCTTTTTTTTTTACAGATACATACATTTCATATTAAAAACTCCCATTCAGAAAATTTAAGAATGGAAAGAAATGAAAGAATAGGGAGTTTGATTGCTGACATTTTCAAGGTTATGGTCAAATTTAATTGATAAGAATTTCAAACATTCCCTTATCTGCCAGAGAAATAATTTCTTTGATTAACCCCCAGATATATTATCTAGAAGGAATCACTTTATCCATTCTCTCCATGGTTCTTATTGTCTTTATCTTGGAGATTCTTTACTCACTACCCCTATGGTGATCATAAGAACTGGTCTTCTATGACCAACCTGATTTCACTTATTACTCTGGTACAGTATCAATATTCAATTAGTGAATTTATTATTATATGTCCATTTCACTCATCAGATATTTGATTACCCTTTAACTAATTTAAGAGAGAATTATAGAAGAATTCTCTTTTGAGAACTGAGCACACTTTATGATCTACAGCCTATCAAGTAGGTTAGGAAGCAAGGATGTTGCTTTAAAGGTCAAACACACACTGGCTTCGGTAGATCAATGTAAGTCCCTCAGAAACTTATACAGTGTATTCCATCTAGTTGTTTACAGGCTGCTCCATGAACAAATAACCATAACCAAAGTTCTAGTCTAGGTAGTGATGTAATGCTTGCTGTCTATCTTCTTTTGTTTACTGATTTCTTTACTCAGCATTTTGTTCTCCTGCAATTTATGTGATTATTTGAAACTACCTGAAAATATCCTTTTAGATAGAAGAGTACTGTCCTTCATTTGTCCTTCTAAAGGAGAATTGTTCTCATGGAACTAACAAGTTGTCATATGGAAGGAAGCCAGTCACTTCCTTTGCTAAAGCTGCTTCTCCAAAATTGTCTCATAACTAGTCTGAAGTACATCTCATCACAGAGCTTTCCTAAGTGAACCACAAACATTCATCAGCATTCTGTATTTTCTCAATGTGCTGATTTTTCCCAAACAGTTCTCAGAGATACCCATTCCTAAGGACTCAAAGCGGCATTTGCTCAATGTCTTTTCATAATATAATTAGGATTACTAATTTACCAGACTGCAACGTCTGTTCCTGTCACCTGATCTCTACTTTGAACCAATGTTTAATGTCAAAACAAATTTTGAGGTAGAGCTCACTTCCAGAAGCCAAGTTATGTTCTATTTAAGATTAATATTCTCTAAAGACAGAATAACAGGAATCCAAATTCCAACATTTAAAAAAAGATACAAAATTATGTTCATTAAATACCAAGCGGTATGTGGTTCACTGTTTTCCAGGCAGCCCTACTGCTTTCAGCATGTCTCTTCTGCATCTGAATTCAGAGAAACTGCTCAACCTTTTCCAACGCGCAATAATCAGAAATAGCAGGAGATGCCAGAACATTGTGTACCTTGTCCTCTGAAGGACAAAAGCCAGAGGTACCAAATGCAGTTTGTTTGAATTCCATTGTCGGTAACTCAGGCACCTGGTCCTAACCCTCCGAAGGGAGCCTGAGAAAAGCAATCTTTAATTGGATTGGCGCATGACCAGTGGAAGCTCTATTATGGAAAGAGGTTAAGAACAGATATTGGATGGCAATTCACAGTCTGACGTTCTACTATGTTGCTCAGAAACAAATCTAAATATTTAAAGCAAGACAGATGAATTTAACACAGGAAATGAAATACTTTTCAACAATAATGACAGGAAGAGCCAGAGAGATGTGCTCCCAGCTGGAATAAAGCACAGCATACCTGACAAATCCAGGGACACAGATGACCCCTGGAATGCTGAATGTCATGTTTAGAGCCAACCTCAGGATTAGAAAGCTGGGAAATGGCTGTCACCACTCCTTGTGCCACAGCTGCCTAACAACACCAAGGGAGGTGACATGCAAACACTGAAGTCTTGCTTTAAAAACCAAGTAAGTGGGTGTGTTTGGGAGCAAAATCAACACAAACTCTCCTTGGTTCTATCTGTCAGAATTTGTTCAAAAACCTCTTACAGTAGTAGATCCTTATTCTCACACTGACTCAGCAGCAATTGCACATGAAAAGTGACTCTCTTGACTTTTCATAATTTGTAGTGAGGTTCATAGCCTAGGCACAGGGCTGGGACAGGGCTCACAGAGGCTCCACCCTGCTCCTGATGGATATAGCACCTAGGCAGAGCATATGGTATTGACATATTATTTCATTCCAGTGAGTAAGGAAAAGCAACAAGTGCTTGCTCAATCTTTTTATCATATATCTTTTGGTTCACAACATTGCATTTTGAAACACCTATGCATTGTGGAATGGCTAAATTAACTTAATTAATATGTACATTATTCTACATACTTCATATTTTTGAGATAAGATCAGTCAAACTATACTCTCTTAGGAGTTCTCAAGTCTAAATTTCATAATTATTAATCTTACTCATCATGTTGTACAAAACATTGCTTAAATTGGTTCCTCTTCTCCACCTGAAATTTGTAATGCTTTAACCCACATCTCCTCAATCCCAGCCTCTGCTAACCACAATTTTACTTTTTGCTTTTATCATTTTGACTTTTGAAAAAGTTCCTTACAAAAGTGAGATCATTACGGGTATGGTTGGTCTTTTACCTCTAGCTTATTTCACTTAACATCCTCCATCATCATTCCTTTTCTCACAAATGATAGGCTTTCCCACTTCTCTATATACTTCAACTTATCCTTTAGGGAATCTTTGATGTGTGTCTATCCTTCAGTAATTGATCAATCTTTCAAAATAAAATGATGGGATTGATACCCTTGCGCTTGCCAGGGAAGCGCTTATTTCACTGAGCCATCTCCCCGGCCCCTTTGATTTCATAAAGATCTATCCACCAAAGATTTATAAGCACGTGTCCCAGTAGGTCAACACCAGATTAAGAGATGTCTAGCACATCTGTAAAGCACAGTCTTGAGTGTGTATCTGGATGTGTCATGAAATCATGACCTTGGTTGCTCTATGGTCTCTCACCCACCCTCTCCAGCTACTGTTTCATTACCCTAATAGCTGCTGTGAACTTAGAGCACCCACCACCCACTTACACCATTATGCCCCTGCCTTGGAGCCAACCAACCACATACTAAATACCCAAACAGTGAGCCAAACTAAGCCTCACTTCAGAGGGAGCATCAGTTACTAGGCCGCAGGGATGGGAAAGCTGACCAATACACTGTGCTGAATCTGAATCACTACTTTGACAGGCTAACAGGTCAATTTTTATAAAGACTTCACATTGCATTGATGCGCTTTTCCATCAGCTCAATGTACAGTGAAAGAAAGGAAAAACAATTTATGTTAATAGAGTGCCAAGGCAATGAATACTTTCCAAGTAGCTCGACCAAGGTATTTTCCCTCTTCTTCAGTCTCATGTGTTGAAATGGTGATAGACAAACAGCTACATCATATCTGCGACTCTCTTCACTTGCTATTCTACAGGATGCTAAGCAGTTCAGATCACTCAGCTATGCCACTGGCTGGAAATGAGATGTTGCGCCTGTCAGCTTCAAGAAGACAGGAAATTTGTCCATCTTATTCAAATGCCATATCCAATCCTAGACAGCTGCTCAACTCTAGGTAGATACTCTTTGAAAAATTATGAATTTTTGAAGTCTTTCTTTACAAAAGAACAGTAACATCCGGAAGAGAATGAGGGAGAAAACACTAAGCGTATATAAAACATGTATGTAACCAGTCTCAGGTGTGGATCAGTATTTTTCCTATTAAATTTTAAAGAAAATGATCAAAGTCTTTATCTTCCCACGAAAGTCAATATTGAAGATCCTTTGCCAGTTGTGGAGTAAGACTACAGGGTGATAAGATGGAACTTACACTGGAATGTTTGCTCAGAAAAAAAGGCATTTTGAATAAATGAATTTAATTCTTTATAGACTGTGGACAATAACTATATTTGAAAAAATATTAGAAAGTTACTTGCACTTGCACATTGACTTCTTAATGCAAAAAGCAAGAAACTTTAGAAGGCTATCAAGCAAGACAATCAAAATTGCTCTTCCCAACACTTTCTAATTTTGACTATTGCAAAAAAAAGACAAAATAAACTAGCATAATAATAACAACACCACAATGCACAGAAAATCAAATAATTTGGCAGTATAAAAAGTTGGCTTTTTATTTTTGTTGATGTTTGACTTTTGTCTCCTTGTTGTTGTTATTAGTTTTGGTAGTATCAGTGTTGAAGGTTATTCATCTTGTCTAAATGATTTACCTGAAGACTAAGTAGATGCTGCTAGGTAAAAGAGAAGACATTTATTGTTTCAATTCAGGTATAGGGCATACCCATGATAAAGTAAATTATAGAAATAGTGTATTTGGCCACTTGACTTTGTTTTTAATTAAAAGTTCTGCTGGAATGGGCAAACACGCACATTAATCATGCACATCAATGATACTGAAGGTCATATTTTCAATGAAAACTGTGTGACGTACATTTTAGTGTACTTTCTTGATAATGAATAATTGCTATCACACTGTTCTAATGCTAACCTTTCAGTCATCCAGATTAGATAATTTCTTTTCACTTAATCCAACTTTCTAGGTCCCTCTCAAAAATGTACATAGCACTATCTCAATACATGATAAGGGATTTGTAAGAACAAAACTTCCCAGCTTTTCAAGAGACCATATTTTTAATAATGGCTCAAGTTAGGCAGTAGTCTAAAGGAATTTTAGGTGTTTACCATGCATGCAAATGAGGAAAAATCACTATCAGAAAAATTATTTTAAAGCCCTTCACTTCCTCAGATTTCTGAAGTTAAGAATTGAAATCTGAATTTTTAAAAGTGTATGATGAGCCGGCAAGAGAGCTCAGTGGTGTAAAGCACCTCCTTAGGCAATATTAAGCAAGTTTAGGGACTGTGGTTCGCAGCCAGCACCACATGCTGCTTCACCCTGCTCCCCAGGGCAAGGCCGAGTGCCCCGCAAAAGAAAGAAAGAAAAAAAAAAAAAAGTTCATCAGTCCTATCATTTTCCTGGTTTGGAAATGTTCTGTGAGACCCATATGTTCAAGGTTTAGTCCTAGGTCCTCCCACCACTAGGAGGTGCCAGAAAGCTTGAGGAGATGAGGCCCGGGCTAAGGAAGTTAGGTGGTCAGGGACGTGACCTGAGAGGATGCAGGAAGCTTGGCTGTTCCTCTCGGCCTTTGATGACCCACCCCCCACCTCCCCACCCCCCACCCTCCCCCACCCCCCACAGCACAGTGAGCAGGCTTTGCTTCACTACAGGCCCAGTGTTGTTCCACCAGAAGGCACGAGGCCAACTGACTATGGACTGAAATGAAACTTTTCTCCTTAGAAGCTGATTTATCTCATGCATTTTGTCCCAGTCACTAACACATCTTCACTGCTCAGAAGAGACGGGCTACATGAAAAGAGGAATGATTTTTAATTTGAACATTTAAAAAAAGTTTAATAAGCAGCAGTGAAACCCAAAGTAATCATGCCTTTTTAGGTTCAACATTCTACTCCTGAAGTCAGTCTTAGGCAAAAAATAAAGCTATTTTGAATTTGAAAGCAAAAAAGTTAGAAAAAGAATAAGTGCAACCGATGATATTTTCATAGCAGAACTGACTGAGTTAATTTTCTTTAATAAAGCGAACTTATTTCTGGCTGCATGTAGTTTATTTGAATACAATTATATAATTTCTTATATTGCTTCCAAGTTTCTACGCATTGCTGAACAGCAGAAAACCAAAACAGGGGCACACTAACCATATTTACTTTCTTGCTAATCTTGTAAATGTCTTTCTTCTTTACTTTTCCTTTTTCAATTTCTTATGGGTTTTCGCTACGGATTCTGAGGCAGAGAAAATAACTTTTAATCTTTTCCTAAACTACAAAAAAAATCAACATATGATATGAATTAAATAAAAAGCATATCTTGACATTGCAAACTCCTGAGCTCACCTCTGCTTTGGGGAATGGGGAGCACTGAGGCCGCTATGCCCAACCACCCCACATTCAAATGCATGATAACATAAGCAAGCACAATTTGAGAAGAAATATGCTCACTGACACATATATTTTCAAAAGTATGTTTTTGTTTGTAGATTGAGACTCAGTATCTTTTTGGCATGAAGTCTCCTTAACAAGGAGAAGCTAATTAATCTTAAAGCCAATACTCACTATGTCAGGGCAAATCCTTTTTTCCCCATATAACCTGCCAGTATTTGACAAAAAATAGATTCCTAAACTTGGCAAACCTGCAGAACAGGAATAGCTGCTTCCAGTGGAAGCACTGTACTCCCTTGAAGGAGAGGTGTTTTAGCTTGTTGCAGCATATTTCAGTCCTCAAGAGAAAACAGATCATGTTTCAGTAAGATACCTGCTTCAGGTAAGAGATTCAAACAAAATGCTGCCCGAGTCTACCTAAATAGAGACAGGGTTAATTCAGTTCAAATGTATTATGGAGATATAGAAACTCTATAGCGTGAAATGTAAGTGGTGGAAGAGCTGAAAAGCTGAATATGTGCCACATTTTGAAGCATGGATTATGCACTCTCTCTCTGATTCTTCACCCTGTCCCTTTTTGCCCCTCTAGCTCCTCCTCTCTGATGTTGGTTGATTCCGTAGATCGTCTGGATACCACATGGTGTATATCACCTCCTGCTCACTCTCCTTCATGTCCTCCAGAGTCCTGACTTAAATGCATGTAGATTTTCCTGTGTGCATCCTCTTTTCTGTTGAGGACCTTATACCACCGGTCTACTGACAGCTTGCCCACAATTCCAAACTGGAATTCTTGTTCAACAGGAGTGGACTGTACTTAACCTCTGGTCCCCACACTGGCAATAGTTCCCAAGAGAGGAAAAGTTGCTCTAATTTCTCTTCTTTTACTCCAGGTCAGGCTCCTGTTCAGTCCTGTCTACCCACCTCTTTATTGGAAACTCAGAGAAGTACAATGTAAACCTAGTGTGTGATCAGCTGCCCCCTGACTTTCTCACCTGGTGACCAATTTTATGTCTGACACTTGGAATTGAAGAGAAAGGAAGATAAGCTCCATTCTTTAAAACTAATTCTAAACATGTAACTTTTCCTCCCCTGTATTTAGGACAGGGTCTACAGGGTATCACTATGTAGATCGGACTCGTAATGATCCTCCTATTTTCAGCCTCCCAAGTGCTGGGATTACAGGCATGCACCACCATGCCCAGTA